TTTTTTATTTTTATTATCGACTGACAGTTACGATTGTTTTAGTGTTTACACGCTATAATTACAGCTCAGGTCTACCTTGTGCCTATATAATGCATTGGCGAAGGCGTTAAGTACAGCATGATGCCTTAAAAGGACCTGACTTCTTGTCGGCGTTAATTAGTCGGTTTTAATCAGTGGCCGCTACTCAAGTTAAGTCATTGTAATAATATCAATGGTCCTAATCAAAGTGCTGACACTGGTGGTTATTACTCGCTGGTTGGTGCTTTCAAAAAACAACCCAGGCCTACTGTAAATTTGCCAAACGGGTCGACGTTTTGAGGTCGCATTATTTCTGGTGTAATCTTTTTGGACTCGGCGATATTTCACGGGCCATTGGCGCCAACAATAACTTGGGAAGAATCATCGCCCACGGCTTATGAGTTTTCGCAATCAGTGCTAATTTCCACCGTTTGTTCATTGTAATTGTTTTTTCACTGCACTACAATCTTTGCCTACATTGACAGTCACCCAATTAAAATAAACATGCAGGCAAGACCGTCGGCAGTCTGAAGTATTTTCTTAATTGGACCGAGTAAAAATATGATGCAACCATATTTTGTTTGGCGAATACAATTGTAAAAGAAACACCGTTCTAAGTTGACTTCTGCTCATAATATTTTGATTTGCCAAATGTATCGTGTTGAACAATACCAGTATTATTATATACTACTCAAAATGTGTTTCGCGTTAAAGCTTTCTTGGACTGAAATGTTATGTGGATAATTTTCAGATGAATTCATGTCTTCAGTTTTGCGCTGACGTTTTACACTCATTCGCTAAACGTTGATGGTTAAGGAGACACGGCGATTGACCTAGTTTGAACCTTGAGTAACTAACCCCAAACGTTAATATTATACATCAGCGAGTGTTTTATTTTTATGTGTATCCAAATAACAAGTAAGCGATTTGGTAATTTGAACTGTATGACCGCTAGTGGAATTACCATGTATGGAGTTTAACGGCCAACAATGTAATGTAGATTACCACCGCCAAACGGTGTATATAAAATAAATTGCCAGGTTTGATATAAATGCCTCACATTACCATCGTTTATATTCTTAGAAATGAAGTTCAACGACGAATGGGTTTACTTGGCCAAAATATATTATGCTTAGTATCGCCGCAGGACAACTGCTAATCATATGTGAAACACATTCTACTTGTGTGTATGTGAGCCGTGATTACTTCCATTATAGCTGGCACTTAACGCATGGTTATCATTTATGGAGACGTTCAATTCTTGATTCTCAGAACGGTTCTTGAGAAAATCACAACAGAGTTTTCTACTCTATATAATATTTCAAGTTCATCAATCATAAAATAAAAAAATTTAAAATTTAAATATTTGCATACAAGATATACATAAGATAAGATTTTTATATGATTTAATCTAAAAAAAAAAAATGCTGTCATACAGAAACGTATAATTGTTTAAGTTATTTTTAAATCTTGTTATGTTTTTTTTATGCAATTAACATAAATTAGTTAATTATTTCTAGTCGATAAACTTGTTTGGTTTTTATTAGATCAATGACTTTGAACGCACACTTCGTTATATGTAAGTATAAAAAAAAACCATCTTAGGCACAGTACCTAAATATTATATCAACTTGTATTCTGCTGTATATTTTTTTTCGCGTTAAATTATTTCTTGGCCCGTAATAAGTACGCCTACCGTTAAACTATCAAATTCAGGGCAATTTTTACCTAGGCCAATCCGTGTGAGTCATAACAAGAAATTGCCATTTTCACGTGTAACTAGACTTAGTATTGGTTATTTTCCTTCGTTTTTTTTTTAAATTAAAGAAATGAATTAAACCCAACGACGCTGTCGGTACGCATTATTATACATAGTATACAAAAACGGTTGCCGGTGCAATACAGTGGAAGACAACAGCAGCACTGGTGGTCCTTCATTGGAATATCCCAAGTGTGTCGCACTTGTGACAAAGGTACGTTGGAAGGAAAATTATTTTGGCTGTACAGCAAAATGTATGCTACACATAATACCAATATACCGATTGACTGAACCCAAAAGGTACCGTCATAGAGACTGAGTGTATTATATTACCATATTTTCTTCTAGAACATCATGTGTTTTATATCAAATAGAAATTAAGAAGCGTTCTAAAATGCTTTTTTATTGAGGTTTAATGGAAAATATGTCAAGCATAATAATTGTTTGTCGTTTTGCAAATAATTCAAGTGTATAATATTTCGGAAACATTGTTGAAACAATCCTTTTCATAGTAATATTTAATTTTCTGTCGAAAAAAAAAAGAAAAAAAACACTATCGTCTTGAACTGATCCCAAACCATCGTGAGAACTCAATGGGGGAACTTCACTACTATTTTGCACTGTTGGAAAGGTTTAAACGACAAGTAGATCCGACAGAGAGTATGGCGAGGTAAGGCGATTGCTTCGGCTGCAGGGAAATTATATTTTTAACATGGGCAAACAACATGATAGCCCTGAAAGCGCATATGCGTTTGTTATAACGGTAGTTTTATTATGAAAGTAAAATTTTAACGTTTTATTGTCCAAATTAAATATTATGTTAACCGCCGCTGCGTTTGTATATACTTGTACACTCGAAATACATTGTATTGTATAATATTATTATTATAGGTACAGTGTACACTGTACCCACTGTAATGTGTGTGTGTGTATAAGTGCATAAACGCCGTACATTGATGATGAGTTGAATAAACACCCTGTTGTCGGACAAATACCTACCTAACCCGGAGACAATAATAATAATAATTGTGACCCAGTCACAATAGTAATAAAATACAATAATATTAACCATTTTTTTTTTTATTGTAATAATAAACTACCAAAATATGTACACACAAAGAGAAATCTAAGGGATTGGAAGACATTTTAGTATTTTTTATAACGCTTTTAATAGCCATGGCAAACCTGCACGACCGACTCGGTAAATACTTGCAGATGATCTGCTTTTGAATTTATGACCAACCGTTTTACAATCAGTAAAAGGATTTTTTTTAATTCCAGTTGGAATCGAGTATGAGCGTTTTGTATTAAGCAAAGACATATTATTGTATAGTAATTACATCAGCTGCGTTTCCAACCAGGTTGGAAAAAAATTCAAAAGGAGGGCTTTGTGTAGTAAAAATGTTCTCGGCAAATGCATGATTCTATCTGCTGTCAAACCGTACATAATTAATGTGAATCAGATTTATATCTCGGTGCGTTTTAACCTCGTTTATCGAAACGGTTAAATCACAGATCAAAATTCTTGAAAACATCTGAATAACGGTAATAAAAAAAAAAAATTATTCGTAAAATTTCACCGTTAAATTGAAAATGTATAGTGTACATGTATTTAACATAATATCCAACAATGTAAAATTACAACGATTTCAACGAGAAGTCTACCGGCTGAACATTTTTAGGAAACTACCGAAAACAAGTACTATGTTCATACAAAGTAATGAAACGCTTTATGCATTTTTGAAATGTTTCAACAAATAAAAAAACAAAGCAAATTATTTTACTTGATAGTGTTTTTTTTCCTGACAAAAAAGTTATAAAAGTAAAACTAATAAATGCAAAATTATTTAGATAATTTACATCAGAATTTAATATCTGACAATTTTCAAGTTCAACGTGATCTAATTAATTGATAATTTCACAGAAAAATTAAATCATTTTATTCAAACTGCTACAATTTTTTATGTGAACTATACATGTAAGAAGTTAATGGACGATTGCATATGTTTAAAGAAAAAAAATAAAGGAACTATAGTCAAATAATTTAATATACCTGTATGGGTTTTCAACTATAATTAATCTTTTTGTTTTGTTAATCATTGTAATTTGTATCATTATAAACAGTTATTAATCATGTAAAAATTCACGAAAAGTGCACTAAAAAATTAGTTTTCCCAATTTTCCAGAAAATCGTAAAAAGTATATAATATAATTTTTAATATTTGAAAAAAAAATTGTAAACACCAAGGAATAACAGTTTTTTTGTAAACATTTTCTTATAGATTTTATAAAACAAACATGTTTATTTTTTTCCCAATCAAATTATATTTCTAAACTGGATCAATTTTTTTATTTTAACATAGATTTTTTTGGATCAAATTTTCTTAATTTTTTATTAAAATTTCTGACGTTTTAATTATATTGGTATTTAAAAACTGTAATTCTTTAGTTTAAAATAAATTATTAAAAAGTAGAACGAATTCTTATTTTTACAGAATTCTGGACTAACTAGAATTTGCTGACTAGATAGTTAAATTTTGTTTTTATTCTATCGTAGTCTGGAAGTAAAATTCTAGACTACGAGGCGTCGAATCTTTGAAAATGGATGAATTTGTTTGAAAAGAAAGCGCCTAGCACGGGTTGGGTTGATTTAGTTTTTTGTTTGGTTAACGACATTAAGTAACCTCTTATCATCTCTTATGAACTCTCGAGGTTTATCTATTGCTCGGGATAGCCCAGTTTCGGCGGCGACACTTGTCGTCAGAACATTCGAGTATTTTGTAATCATTTAAGCCGTGCACTGTTTTTGCCGGTTCATAGACCTCTCCGTATGTAGTGAATGTAAAAAAAAAAAAAAAAAACAGTAATTTAAGACAACAAAAATTAGTCTAATAATATTTATACTCTAATCGCGGTAGGTAAGACCGGTGTTGTAATATTGTAAATAAATAATGATATGTGTATATACATATATGTTGGTATTGTCTTAGAGACAGCCCAATAGGTACCTACCTAGTAGTCTTAAAAATGATTCAAACAGTAGGTACACATGAATGTTTATTATATTATATACTAATATTGTTGCTATTACCATTATGTTATGTGACGTACAGAGGTACGACCCACTCCTGGTCTGGCCACGGCGGCGTTTCCCCCCCACAAGGACTCTCTTCTGAGGTACCGACGAAAGGAGGTATCCGTCTGTCAAAGCCACGTGCTCGTCTAGTTCGCCACAGACACCGGCAGTCTCCCGCGTTCCGTTTGCCCGAACCGTTCTGCACTGACCAAAATAACATACATAAATAATAATATCGTATAAAAAAAAAAAAGTATAATCAAATGCTAAAAAAAAATTAATCATACAGTTATTCGCGGTAAAGTATTTTTTTTTTAATTTTATTCAATTTTATTATGCTCGGCGTCGGGTCGACGGTCATCGCCAATAGCTGTCGTAAAGTTGTAAATTTGTTTGCATTCGTTTTACTTAAATCCCGTCGATCGGCCACCGTGAATGTTTCAGTGTGTCATTAGTTTTAGGTATACAGTGTGCGAGATCGTTGTAACCGTTTTGTAGTAAATCGCGTTACTTTTTTTTCCCAAACTGTGTTTTGCCTATACTTGTTCAACTTATCAAACAAACGGTTCTTCTTCATGTATCCGCGACAAGTTCAACGCGGACTATGCGGCTCGAGGATATTGCACTGAGGGCACAACAGGCGCCGGACACACCAAGTCTATGCAACAACAACAACAATTGAAAAACTAAACGATAAACAGGTAAGTGAGTTTTGAAATTTATAAAATTTGAGTTTTTTTTTTTTTGAAAACGACCGAAATGTGCTCAAATGAAATTAATATTATTAAAACGTGCCAAAAATATGTTCAACGTATTATTATTGTTGCCTCTAAAAAGAGTTAAAAACGTTTTTACTGTATTTAAAAAACAAAATATTTATTTTGACGTGTAGTCAGTTTTTTTAACTCTAAAATAACTTGTACAAGTAACAAGAATAATGCAAAAATAATATTTGAATATGATAACACAGTATCGCACTTAACAATTTCTACCTAGTTTGCACTTCGTTAGAACTGTTCATTTTTACAGAACAATTTAAATACAACTAATGTTTACTACAATTTTAATAAATCAAAAACCATTTACATTTTCCGCGTTTATTAAAAAATACATTTTTTTCTTATGAAAGTTTGTTAAAAAGAAAGTATCGGTTTATGATAAAAGACTGTAGTTTTTGTATTAAAGTTTTTTCAAGTTTGTCAGACATGATATGTACGGTCATTGAAGTCTCCAAACACAGTGTGTCGTAAAAAGAGTTAGAATTTTTTCTTATAAAAAAAAACAATTGCCTATATTTTAACAAAATTCCTAAAAAAATGTAATGTTAAGTTAATATAAAAATGTAAATAGTATAGAGGTCACTATTTTTTATCAACTAAAATAAAATATATATTTGAGAGAGCAAAATAAAAATGTTTTTAATTTATATTCCTTCTTTTCATTGTAGTCAACAGTTTTTGGTTACGTACTAGGTAGTTTTTTATGTGTAGAATCTTTTGAATGCAAAATAAAAAAAATAATTACTTAATTTTTAAAACCTAACCTATCCAAAACCTCCACCTTTTAAAAGGTAATAAAAAAAGTATATCTCTGACAATCGAGAGTATAATCGTTGCAATCATGACATGACTCACAACTAATTCTGTACTCAAAAGCCAAAACTTAATAAATTTAAAGCAAGTTTGCAGTAGGTACAGCAGTTAAGTAAAGTATAACATTAATGTAAAAATTCACTATTAGATATGTTTTTCACCATATTTAAAAAAAAAAAGTTTGTTAGTAAAATAATATTTGGGGTACTATTTATTTTGATAAATAGTTGTCCATTTCCTAATCAACTTTAAAAATATGCTATAACTTGTGATACTGTTGAGCTACAGTACACTCGTTTGACACGAGTGAATTCGAATTCCAGCAATCACATATATATATTTAATTTAAAACCTTAAAATTTATTTTTTGCACTTATCATGTTGGGTCTCTCGAGTACTGGACTATTATGATTCCACAATACCGTTCCCCGTTTTGTTAAGATTAACAATTAACACTTGTCTTGGTTGGAGAATAGGTTTTTCTTTCTAACGAACTATAACGGATTTATTGCATTAAAAAAAAAAAAAAACGCTCAACATTAATAGAGAGCATCCGAAAAATGTAAAAAACAGTTTATAAGTGTACCTACTTTTTAACGAAACGGCAAATCGCGTACACGGATTGCCGCGATAATAAAAACGTCAAATGGTCGGAGAGGACGTGTGCTGTGCAGATCTACAAGCAAGAAAGGATTGATACACACACACAATCTACTTACGGTATAACTTATAGAGGAGAAAAAACCGATCAACCGGTTCTGGCCAGAGGCGAGTGGAATAAAACACCGGTAAACATACCGAATAAGAAAATAATATTAATATATTTATTATTTACTACGATACATACTATAGTCTTAGGATGGCACGTGATTGAAAAGGCTGACGCCACAATCGCACGAAACGCACAAGTTGCATCTTATGAGCTACAACAGGATTTTACCAGGCGGGGACGGCCCCGAATCTCGCTTGTCTGTGGACTGTAATTGATCAAATTGGTTTGGAGAATATTTTTTCTTCTTTGCTTTCTTTTCTTATTTGTCTTCCCCCGGGGTAGACGAGCCGGCACATATGCGTTTGGGCTTCGACTCGCCGACGTGACACCTTTTTTTTTCGGAGACTTCCTACCGGTCTCGGTCACGGACTCGCCTCCGGTCAGCATTACACAGGCCATTGTCGTCCCATGTAGGTAAGGACACGTTGTGACGGTATAGTGCACACTGCACAGTATTTGGTCGCCGCAAAGAGTCATAATAATAATCACGGTGTATGCCCTAAGACGTCGCAATGGTCATAATTCAAATCGGCTGTCGTTTGTGGAATATTTTAAGCTCGGAAGTCAAATTTATTGACTTTGGAAACAACATGTTGGCGATAAATATGTCAGTTGGAATACTTGAACTATGATGAAAAAGTAATATTCTACTACTGCCAGAGGCTTTTTCACATGCGACGTGGAGATGTAATGTGATCATTTAATATTAGGATACGAGTAAGAAAAATTCCTTAGTTTTCCACCGACTGTGATGTTGTACACTAAAACACTTGTACATTTTGGTCGAAATCTGCCCGAACACTTACTCACCGAAGAGTTAGTTGGATTAGGTTAGAGAACAGTCGTTCTAGAACATAATATTATTGTTGTTGTCTGTGTAACATGACGATGAAGATGATGCGGACATCAGTCTCCAAAAAGGATGTGTGTGTACACCTAAGGCTATATGGCAGATGATGAAGTATTTTGATAATTATACGACCGCTACAAGTTCTTTGTAGAAAAAAAAAAATAATAAAAAAAAACACCGAAACTAAAAATTGTAAATGATTAATAATGTATTTGGGATACGATCCGCGCGGTATTCTTTAGAAATCATTTTGCATAGACCACGTCGTTAATTATTACAAATTTTTATAACAACTATTATCATTATCCGTTTTTTTTTCTCGTGTGTACCTACCGGCTTAATTAAAACATTTAAAAAAAATAAAAAATAACCACGCTCGTTTGCACAAACTTTCATCGCCATTCTCACGGTCGTAAAATCGACAATATATTATTATAATTATTCTCATTCGGACTTGTGTCTGTATGTGTCCACTATTATAATAATATTATATTATGTATATTATACTAACTTGTCCGTGCACTTTAAGGCTTGGGTCGAATTAATTACCAGATTTATAATATCACGTTTAATCGTATACGGGTCTTTATCGATTTGTTTTATTCATTTGGCCGGTTCGTTTCATTAACGTCCGATGATTTATCGCCGTTCTTTTACGATGATTCAATAAAAATATCATAATAATAATATTACAATAACACTATAAAATATGTGTTTCGAGGCGTTTCTAACTGAGCACAGCTGCAACTCGCATATGTGTCGTTCATTGTAAAAGTGGTGTAACTCCAATTTTTTTCTGTACATACAGTCACATTTTAGTCAAATCTTTCATTATAAAAGAGCAACTCCAATAAATGCAACAAAAAAAAAATGTTAAAAATAGAAAACACCGAATGAATACTTGTATTTGGTTTCCTACACATTTAATTTACAAAAAGCTCGTTATTTCAAAATTAAATTACAAGCAGATAATTCACTTTTACAATAAACGACACATCAAATAATAATAATATGTCCAACTGTATGGTGTACGGTGATCATGTAATGTAATATTAACGTTTCTAGTAGCTTTCTGGACCATCCAAAGAGGAACGGTTTTCGGACAAGGCGTTTGTTTACGGTGTGAAAAATGTACATATTAATAATTACTATCATTTGTGTGGCGAGTGCGTTTAAAAGCCAGTACAAGACCACCCATGGTGACGTCGCAGTAGTAGTAGCGGTCGTTGGTCGAACCGTGGCAATTGGTTTCTCGAAAAAATTACAAGTATGCGCGTGTGAAATTGAACGGCCCGAGGCTCGCGGTCTGGTGTTGTAGTCTCTTGTCTATACCGAAATACAGTCGAAGATAGTGTTTGTCCAGAAGAAGAACTCGCAGTCGACGAGAAGACAACAACCGGAACTCAAGCACTCCTAACCTAGCACATATTACGGAAGTGCTTGCCATCAGTTAACCCCTTCGGACCCTTTTGTTCATTAGATTCATTTCACTGACACCTTCACCATTTTTGGACGTATCTGCAGCAAACGCTGTTTTTTTTCTTCAAAAATACCCCTCGCTTGGTTGCCAGGGAAATGTACCTAACTTACCTTTAGCTATGAAGGCTAGGCGTGCAAGGGCCGATGGCTTTTACTGAAACACATTTTAATATGATTCGTTCACGGGCATTAGCTCTCGTCGGTCGATGTGGTTCTGGTACAATAATATGTAAGATTTCACATGTCCGCGTGTGCGCCCAGACAGCCAATTATAACTATGATAATAATAAGTTTATGGTTTTATTTTGCCACTTATTAATAGCGGCGTAACGTCGTTTACTGGAAAGAGTTGACCCCAACGCGCAAACCGAATGCAAACCTGTATTCCTGCAGATAATTTGGTAGCTCTCGTGATTAAGGTCGCTTTGAAGAGTGCACACATTAAACGCGCACCCACGACACATGTGTATGTAGGTAATAATATAATAATAATAATGATAATAATTTTATTATTATTACATGGCTTCCAGTAAAACCAAGATGTATTAGAAACGCGTTTAATAAATTGCCGACCAATTATACCGGGTAGTCGGTACGATAGAGCGACCGTCGGCCATTAGTGAATAATAATAATAAAACCGCATGTTTCTAAAATTAGAATTAGGCTCGTGGACATCAGAAAATGTTGTCATAAAAACATGATATTTTTAACGCCGAAGGAAATACCACGATTACTTCCTCAATTATTATTGCAGTTAGGTCAGGAGCGAGTTTTTTCCATCACAACATTTAGCACCGAGTGGAAAAAATTACCCCGGAAGTGATCGGTGAAAAATCGAATCCTTTAAAATTATATTACTTTTCAACTCATAATTGTAACTTTCCAAGATAAGTAGAATCACTTTCAAATTTGATTGGCGTACCTACTCTTCAGTCGAATGCCAATAAACGTGAACTACTCGTTTCGCCGGAAAAAGGTAGAAGCTATAATTTTTATTAAGGTTTTTC